GGTTGACCTGGAATTGTTTAATCTGCTTCCTGTCTCCTCCCCAGAGTTTCCAGCAGAAGTTCTCCTTCCACAGCAAAGAGATCGTCGCGATCAGCTGCTCATGGTGCAAACAGGCAGTAAGTTCCATGCCCTTCCAACCAACCGTGTTCTGCCGAGCTAATGGATTTTTGGCCAAAATGTTCCAAAATTGAGTCAAACCTTTCTCACACCAACCTCAGGGCTGCAGGCTTGAAGTCCAGGTTATTTCCTGCTCTGCGGTATGAGAGCAGGTTCTTTTAAATTGATCTGGTGTGGCGTCTCGAGCTGAGAAAGTCTCACTGCTGCTTTGTTGCTTCACCGCCGTGAAAGTAAAATGTACCACAGTAACGTGTAAAACCTCCAATTTCAATCACAAAATAGAGGACACGTCCAGGTCCGCGCCGCGCCGGGCTCTGTGGTTCAGAACCAGGCCAACAAGACCTCCGGTGGGGTGAGGCGGGCCTGTGACTCTGTAGACAAGCAGGCTTGTGAATCCAGCTCTTCTCCTCCAGCAGAAATATCGCTCTTTGTTTTGCTGATAAATACTCCTTACTCGTTAACTCTGCCCGCAGATCAGGTTGGAACATTCCTGCGGCGAAACGTCTGCTGCACAACCTGTCCTTATCCCCTCGTCCATCGCAGGGACTAGTGAGCAGGAAGGGCTGCCCCGCGTCACAATTCTCACCAACTCTCGCCCTCGCCTGTGGTGAGACTAGGGGTTAATAACAGAGTGCCGACTCGCAAAGCTCACAATTCCTGAGGAGTTTATCCATTTTTCCTCCCCCGTCAATGAATTCACTTCTACGAGCGAGATTTAATCACCGGTCTGGGTACCAATTAACCTTCATTTGTCTCTCTGCACCACACCTGTGCTAAAACCCCCCTGTCAATAGTGTCTGACCTGCAATGACACCTGTCCTCCTTGTCCGTACCAGGGTACCAAGGTGCTCCAGAGCTTTATGTGAATTCTGAATCCCCGACAGGTGTCCGCGAGTGCGGACCGTCTGGCGCGGGGGAGGTAGGCGTAGTCGTGTGGCCCTGCGCCTCACGTCCTCACTCTGCTCTCTCCCCCCCGGCAGTTTCACAACAAGGTCACCTGCTTCATGCTGCACCAGATCGAGGAGCCCTGCTCCCTGGGGGCCCACGCTGGGGTCATCGTCCCGCCCTCCTGGATCATCAAAGTCAAGAAGCCCCAGGTACGGGACGTCCCGGTCGGGAGGGGAGATTTTTCGGATTTCGGGGTGCAGAGCTGGGGCTTTGTTATGTTCGTGCCAGTAAGCGTCACATCAGGAATGGTAGGAATTTGGAGTTTGTCTTTTCACGGACCCCAGCTTGCTCTCCAGGAGACACACAGACAGGGAGAGAGAAGCTGGGGGTCAGAGCGCAGGGTCGGCCATTTATACGGC